AACCACCCGGGTGGAAATCTTCTGTATAAACACATAGCTATATAACTTTGACATGGTGGGAGAACGAACCGCTACAAAGTATATCCAAATCAGCTGAACAGACTGAAGAGAGCAGAAAATTGCATCGCCTTAAATCACGGCCCATAATTTTCTTAAGCTTCAGTAACGGAATGTTGCATACCAGTTGATTTTCCATCCGGAGTTTCCGGTTTTCGCATGTAAATGGTAACTATCCTTCACTGCTGCGCGCGTATTTATAGCGCGCTTCAGTTTAAGGGAACTTGGTGTACATGAGTGAATTTGCTATTGCCCTCGTTGGCTGAATTAACGAACTCTAAATTTGTCGTCTGTCGATTTCTTTTTGTCTTTGTGCAAATCACTGGAAAAAAATCCCGCTTTTACCGAGATCTTATCAATTCTGTGCCCATGCATAAGAGGACTCTTATAGTTATTTATAATTTAACGGAGGATGAAAGAAAAAAAATTGTCTGAAAAGCAGTGTGTTGATCATAGTGCAGAGCTCCACGAGATATATTTTCGTGACTGGAGTTTATGAAATATAGACTTTGCAAGAAGAACATTTTAGTGAGTGCATGCTTTCAAATTATAGGAATTTTACTTCTGCTATATCAAGAAAGCAATTTGTTTTCGAGAGTTTAAAAATCTATTGGCGAAAGTATATAGAAATATATAATATACAACTGGTACTTTATACCAAAGGAAGTAAAATAAATTATAAGAGATTTTTAGAAATGAACTTGTCAGCCTTTTAACTTCTGTATAACGCCTGGAAGCACAGGTATCCTACTCAGTTGGTTTTTGCTGAAACTTCCAGTGGGGCTATGTTTTTCTTTGAGATGGGAAAGCTTGCGGCAAACGCAAACATGCGGAATATAGTCTCCCTCACGGAGACGCGATACTTGTACTCCCTCTGAGGCCAGTTTATTAATTATAAATCTCGGTTGTAAATGGTGTCTTTATTAAGTTCTGTATATCACATGAACAAAAAGAACAAAGAGGTTTTTCGTACCCCCCTTCCCCCCCACGCATACCCCGGGGATTTGTAATTTTTTGGTTTCCTGGTGGTGGTGGTCGCAGAATTACGAAGGATTCCCCATCCCCGAGCTCTTGATCGACCTGGGGTATCTTTTTGGGGGGTACATCCTTTTGAGAGCAATAGTGACTTATGTTTTGAGAGAAGGATAAACAGTTTATGTAGTTAAAACATGAACAAAACATTTAATTTTGAAAACGAACAACCGGAAGAAAAAAACTCTTAATCGCCTCCATGGTATGAATCTCTGGATTGAATCTCTGTTTATTCATATATATTAAAAGATTTGTATCCGTTTTCATATACAGTTTATTTAAGTTGTCATATTATTAAACTTGGCTGAAGAAATTATTTGTTTCTTTTGCGAAAAAAAGTCTATTGCAGTACGCATCATACACACGTTCGTTTGAAATTTTAAAACATAATTTCACATACAGACTTAAATTTTGGTAGGTTATTCTTCTCCAACCACACTCCAACAGATTCCCGCCTTTTCCCTAGAAAATACGTAGTAGTCTTCTTCGTTCCGCAGTTTCGTGCAAAACGCTCGAGAAATGACAGGTTCTTCGCATTTTGATTTGCCCCATCCCCATACCTCCGGGACAGGACTGCTTCAACAATTCTCCACCCCTGAGCTCGAAGGGCTGGACTTGTCCCGAAGTTTTTCCGAGGAGAGGATGGTAACAGGTCAAGTTGACGATGCATTACCGTGTGGGTTGAGATGAATTTCGGCGATTGTTTGACTTCTCCAACGGGCTGTGCGCATCCTTATTGTTTTGTTCTCATCTATTTTCTGGAAAAGGGACACTCTCAGCTCGGAGGCAGTTGGAAGTAATGCGAGCCCCGAGGCGTTCTTCCCCTCTTTCTTAATACTTCCAAGCGCCTGCTACACAGGGTACACAGGGTAGCCGTGACATGTTTACGGATAGCCGTACGATACTGGGTAAGGGAATACCCGAGGTCTTATATACTCAGCGTTTGAGTGCTACATCTCCCTCCAGGATATGGATGCTGGACACATATAACACTAATTTTTTAAGGAAAGGATTATTTTTTATGTTCTTGGAAGTAGCAGGACAGCAGGGGAGGGCTTCAAGAGTTTGGGGATAATGTTTTCTTCTAGGCAACCATGGGCGTGCTGGGTTGTTTGCCTGTTCGTTATATCAAAGTACATGTAGGAGCTACTAGCACACGAGGGAATAGGGCAAATTTTAAAGTACATCTACGGAAGATCACTCAAAACTACGATGCAGACCAAATATAGTTTTTTAACGCTAGCACAACGGAAATCAAGTGGCCGGAGCGTGCAACTCCTATATCTAACCTACGCATAGGCGTTTTCACAGACCGATTCATTTTAGCACCATTTTGGGGCACTTTTCGCGTGAAAATGAAAGCACACACACTGACTATGAGGGGCACTCCCTTGCACTGCAGCGCTCACGCAGAGGCTAACTTCGAATCCCGTTGAAGTCCCAAAATTGCTTAAATTGCGATTACCTTCTTCGTTGAAATTTGTATTTCCGCAGTTCACATCATCGCTCTATGTTTCCTTCCTTTCACGGATTAAGATGAACTCATTAAATTAGCCTGCTCCCAATGTGTGGTCCTCGATAGCTCAAGTGGTTACAGCACTGCAGCGCTCAAAATATCAAATTCAAAGTATCAGTCGAAAGAGCCAATCTAAGTCTTACATTTATTGGCTTTTGCTGCAATTAGTCTCTTTTAAAGTATGTATTTTAGAGGAAAAAAACAGGATTCGGGAAAGCGATGAAAATTAAAATAGTGCGGGATGCGGGATTTTCATTAAAAAGGAGCGGGATTCGCACTAACCTACAGTTCCCGGAGCAGAATCCGTATTGCATGCTGGGTAAATAAATTCGTGAGCCGATGGCGGAATGTGCGCGTGTAAACGCGGAATGAAAGAAGGTAAAATTCCTTTCTATTTTGGAGATAAGTCAGTTTAATCATGCTACCTTTAAGTTAAACATCCGATGTTATACTCATCAAATTGTATGAGGTTCTAATTTGAAAACTATAGACACTTGCACGGGGAAAAGTCCATCGATTTCCCATCATTATTTATCAAGAAATTTAACCTTAACATTTAATTTGGATGCCACCTGGTGCTTGAAATTGTGAGATACTGTTTCAGCTACAAAGTTTTTTATACGTCGCGGTGCTGTTATTTATAGATAGCTGCACAATCATTGTACTGCGGGTGGTTATAATTTATATCTCTACCAGTTGTATCTATGGCAACGCCATTTCCAGCAACTGATTGTGCATTGTGATTGCGCTGTCTCTAACTGAATGATCGGAACTACGAAACAGCCCCCAAAGTGGCCACCCTTTATTTTTTGGCGTGTAGAATAAAAGTCAAAGAGTTTCAGCCATTAAAATTGTTAGGAAAATAAAAATCGCTGTAAACGGAACCTCTTCAATTAGCACCAAAAGAAAGGAATCTGACAGATATACAACTGAAATGCAAATAACATTTCAGGTCATTTCAGATTCAGGTCTGTATAATTTTTTATCTATGAGATGTGTAGAGGATGATTTTCAGTCAAATTTACGGAATGTATAGTTAGGGAGGCAACTTTTGCATCCTGTCCCATGGTGGGAAACTAAATTTGGCATCGTATAAATGCAACAAGAGCGTTGGTGTAGTGTACGTAGGTGCGGGTGGGGGGGGGGGGGGG